ATAATGATACTGAATATAATGTCACCCAATTTTCCCCATATAATGTCACCCAATTAGTCACCCAATTTGATTGTCTTAATTCTCAGGAAACGCGTAACTAGTAAAATTGGAGAATATGCCATAATCGATACCCTGATTAATAGTTTTACATTTTTACATATACTTTGATTTTATTAAAAATGTAATATATTTAGAGCAATAAAGACCCACTCGGGTAAAGGGCTTTTTATTCATGATTAAACTTCGTTCTTTTGTAAAAAATATCTACCTGTTATTTAGACAGCGCTCATCTTAAAAGACGCAAAAAAAATGTTTAAACATTGTACATTTTGAACGGATATGCTTATCAATTCAATAAAAAATGTACCTTAAAAGAAATTCTAAAATAATGACAAAGAAAAATAAGAGTATATTTAATCTTACCTCCATTTATATTTCATAGCATTTGCCTTTTTTTTTGAGGGCGACTATGCCCAAAAGAAAATCGAGACAAAGAAAATAAAGTGTTCTTTATAAATGATGAATTAACTCAGAACATCACCGCACTGTATAACTCCCAAGATTTCGAGAGGAAGCTGAATTGTGATGTTAAGTACCCACAAAAAGTTGTAATCTCGTAAAAACGAAATAAATTCTAGAGACAGTTCTAAAAAAATATGCTACTTCTCGTGATCTAGAGATATATTTTACTTTAAAGTTAGCTTACGCTAACTAAAGAAATATTTGGTTCTGATTTTATGGTGTAATCTGTATACTAAATAAGATATGTTCCATGGATTTTGTATAAGATTGTAATAATATTTTTAAAAAATTGATTATTTAGTATTTTGTCAGAGAAGTCCACTCTAGTGGTTCAGTCACAACTACAATCGGTGTATAAAAACCAATGAAGTATTGGGATGGAGCAATAAAAGTTTTGCGGAGAAAGCTGAATTTTAAATTAGGATTCCGAATAAACTACATAAAAATCACTGGTACTTGTAAACTATGATAACTATCGTAATTTTGATATAAAAATCATTAGCAAGCTAAAAAGTAAGTTCAAGAACTAATAAATATGTAATATTTTCGGTCATGAAAGTTTTTTAATTCAGAGTGAAAATTTTTATTGAAAAAATTAAAAGTATCGGAAACTTATTTCGGTATCCATAAACTTTTATAAAAGTTGTCGTTCTTTTATTGTGATTATTGACTTACCAAAAACATTGAAGAGTCGTATCTATTTATTAGAGGCAATCAATTGTAAAACTAGCTACACAAGGGCAAAGCTGGGTGACAAATATATATTATTATGAAAGAGGCATATTATTATCATAAAGACACATAATGAAACCTTTATTGTAATATTCAAATATATAGTGACAAGGAAGTATATTAGTGTGAACATATGCTGTGTATATTTTTCTTATTCTTATTTTTTCGCATTTTTGGCCATTTTTCTTTTCTTGCTTACATTACTTTCTTCTTTATTTTTTCCTACTATAATATTAAGTACATACTAAAAAAACAATTTTGTTGTTTTTGTATTATTTTCAGTTTCTAATCTAAATATTTTTTTATTTTCACACATAAAGTGCTGTTTCCATATGTAATAATCATGTTTAGGTTAAGCTTAGTAGAAAGTCGATGGGAGATATATTGGAAGAAAGATCGATAGGAGCGATCGTTAAGGGTCTTCTTTTCTTTCAAGTGCCTATTCGGACTTTTGTACGGCTGCTCTGAAAAGTTCATTTGATGTACATCAGTACCACTCTCTAAGTTTATGCATCCATGACATTCTACGCTTCTCTATGCTTCTCTTTCCTTGAATCTTTCCCTGCATAATCAGTTGGAGCAAGGTGTATTTCTCTTTACGTGTAATATATCCTAGATATTCCAATTTTTGTGTTTTAATCTTATTTAAAATTTCCATTTCGTTATTCATCCTTCTCAGAAACTCTTTGTGACGTGTTCTGTCCACGATATTTTCAGAATTCTTCTGTACACCCACAGCTCGAATGATTCCAGTTTTTTATTGCTGTCGCATTGAAGGTCCAAGAAACTATTCTATAAAAGAAAGTCGAAAAAACATAGCACCTCGCCAACCTAACTCTTAGCTTCAATTTTAAACACCTTGTATATAGCACTCTTCTCATTGTGTTAAAATTTGCTCGATCCTTTTCTATTCTGATTTTGATCTCCTTATTTAAGGAATTAATCATTATTCCCAGATATGCATATTTGTCCACTTGTTCAACGTTGGTTCCGTTTATTAGAATATTCTTGTTATTTATTTGAGTTTTCAATATTCTCATAAATTTCGTTTTCTTGACATTCATAATTAGACCATTTTTTCCATTTCTCCATACTCTGCTGTTCTGGTCCAGATCTAGGTACCAGTCTCTGAAGATCTTCAGTATTTTCGGCTAAGATCACAGTGTCGTCACATATCTAGTGTTGTTAATGGGAACTCTATTTACCTTTATTCCCGCTGTTTTACCCTCAAAAGCATTTTTCAGGATCTCTTCACAGTAGGCATTAAAAAGACTTGGCGACAATATACATCCCTGTCCCACTCCACATCTAATTTCGATTTCTTCTGACAGCTGTTCGTTAACACGTATTTTTGCTTGCTGTTTATATTATAAATTTAATATGATCCTGAAATCGGTGCACTCTTTTGCATTTTTCATTTTGGGGAGACAAATAAAAATCGACATTACCCACTCTTTGAGTAATACGCCTGAACTATCCATTTGGTTCAAAAGTGTCACTAAAACATCAGTGTACACCTCATCTAAAACTTTGAGCATTTCTTTAAGAAGCATATCAGATTCAGGGCTTTTCCCCACTCTTCATTGTTACCAGTTTAGATCGTAGAGGGTAATTATCGTCAAATACGTGGGCACAAACACAAAGTAAAAAGTGCTAACCTAAGAAGGTGTACAAAGTGAATTTTGGTCGATGATATACTAAAGTGGAGAAAACGTAGTGATATCTAAACTAGTATAAAAATGATATAAAATCATTTATACCTTTTTTCTTCTTCGTCATGTGCTATCTCCTCTAATATTCATAATAATTCGCATTTTTGATATGGCTGCACCAAAGAAATCAGCAACCGTGCAGCGAAACCAAGCTCTTAAATCGTTTAACCAGGAGATGCGTCTTCTTTCAAGACTCCTTCAACCCTACATTCTTCTTTGTATTAATATTTGCAGCAAATTATATGGACCTAGTCTCCTAGTCGTAGAATTCTCTGTTAAATTGTTTTAAGATTTTGTTTTATGTCTTTATTATTTTTTTTTGTTTAGGTAGCTGCCAATTTCATATTATCCTCAGTAGATGATGGTCTGTCATTTTCTGTACATGTCCGTACATAAGAAGCCATTTTTGCTGTATTTCTTTGATGATAATAGTTGTTCTGTCCATGACTTGTCTTATCCTTTTATTTTTCACGTGCATTATTCTCGATGTACATGCTTATTGGCACCAAAAATCCATTTCCAGAAGGAAAAGTTTGTGTTCTGGTTTTTTAGTAAATTACTAGGTTATGAATCCATAAAGTAATACTCTTTTAAAAATTCTGTTATATAGCTGTTACTTTTCTCTTTTAATTTATTTAAAATCACACTATAATGTCTTTTACTTACACCATTGCTGAAGCAAAATATATGAAAAGTTATTAAATACATATAAAATAGAAGACAAATTTTTTATAAGCAGTTACTGCATTTAGATCTTAAAGAGGTGTATGAAAGTATTTTACAATATAAAATTTACGAATCACTAGAGAAAACAAATATAAACATGATACTAAGCATAATTCCTTATTATCACGCCACGTTTAATTTTTTTTTCGTCGTTTCTGTCCTATTCATATATTCGTATCACAAGCCATATTGCACGTCACTTTATGTTAAGTTGTTTAAGAATTATAAGCATAATATGCTTCTGATACATTTTCATATTTGATTTTTCAATTAAGTTACTATTACTTCCCACCTTTTCATCATAATTTGCCTATCTCACTAGAAAATCGTCAAAACTGACCAAAATAGACTTTATTATGTGCCATTTGCTTGTACGAAAACATGAGACTTCGCCATCAAACACGCAATAGCATTTAACAAACAGGGGATATATGTGTAGACTGTTCTTCTTCTTTCAGTGCCTATTCGTTCCGAATATTGGCAATCATTCTGGCTATAATTATTTTATTAACTGATGCTTTAAATAGGTTCATTGTTGTTGTGGAGAACCATTTCCTCAGGTTCTTCAACCATGATATTCTCCTTCTCCCAATTCCTCGCTTCCCGAATACTTTACCCTGCAGGATTACCTTCAGTAATCTGTATTTAGTGCTGTTTCTCATTATATGTCCGAGATATTCCAATTTTCTCCTTTTAATGGTATACATCACCTCTCTTTCTTTGCCCACTCTTCGTAATACGGTCTCGTTGGTTATCTTGTCTGTCCATGATATCCTTGTGTAGACTGTAGAAGGCCAATAAACAAATCTTATACTAGATAAAGAAATGACAATACAATATTTTAGAAAATATAAATACATAAGAATGAAACTTACCTCTAACGGTACACTGGACGAAGCGATTAAAAAAACATTCAGGAAAGCAAAGTAATAGCTCTATTGAATGGAGTACTATTAAATAAAAAATATAAACTAAAAAAGCAAAAGCAGAATATGTCACACCACTGAACAAACCAAAATTTCGAATATCTTAAAGAAAAGAATATAAAAATGCTACAGAGACGGTTTTATAAAGAAGAGCGAAAGAAAAGTCAAAGATAGATGGATATTTACAAACTATAAAAAATTTATATATCGAAGTTGAAATAAAACTGACACATTACTACAAAAATTAAGAAAGTTTACGTGTGGATTCAATCCTAAACTAGCAATCGACAGTGAAAGTGTAAATAAAGGGGTACAAAATTAATACCTTTAGTTTATTTTAAGGATCACTATTATTTCATAAAGTGTTTAATTATTTATTTACCCCCTTTTTCTTCGTGGTGTCCGGCCGAGTGATGTTTGCCATGTTTTCCGTGTTCTCCTTTATCGTGGTGGTGATCACTTTTATAACCTTTATCTCCCTTTTCTCCGTGACTCTCGTGGTGATGAGCGTGATGTTCGTGTCCGCCACCTTCTTCATGGTGATGCCCGTGTTTTGATTCCGCAACGTCCAAATCTGCGATCACTAACGCTTTATCTTCATCTTGGATAATCCTAGCGATACCCGAATTTGCGAAACACAGGCAGAGCCCGGCAATACTTACGAGTAACAGACGCATCGTCTGATTGAACGGTTTGTGATACTGGATTAGTTATTATTCTTCGATCGCATTTATAGGAATTGGCATTTCCTTAACGTTATATCATTTTGTGCATTGAGTTTTATGCTACATTGAACATCTAAGATTTTTTGGTAAGAATTTGATGTTTTTGTGGTTGTTTCGATTTTTATGTAATCTGCTTTCTCCTCATAGTGTTTCTGTTGCGATTTTGAGGTCGACTGAACTATACAGGGTTAACCTTAAGATTCTTTTCTCGTTAATAGTTTACTAAGATAATACGTGTTTATTCTTACTTAAATAAGTAAACCAAATGTACAATGACTTTTTTGTGGTAATTAAATAAAAATCTGCTTCTACATCCAGTCCATTTTCCTACAATTTTTGTGGCGACACTGAAATAAATCTCTTTTCACTGCAACCGTCACCTCCCACCATCTCCAGCCTCTAGATATCACTATTTTTTTCTCCATTTAAGATAGCTTACTACCAATAATGTGACAATTATATAAAACAAAAATAAATATGAGAAAATCAATACAACAGACGTTGCGGAGCTTGTTAAAAATGCCTTTAATAACGCTATTGAGAAGACTGTAAATGGTTTTCGAACCACAGGGATCTTTCCCTTCAATCCCGATCTTTTTTGTAAAGAAGAATTAATATCTATACCAGTAGTTAAACAATATCAAAATAATGTGCTTTCTCTGCCCGATACACATCAAACACCAACACCAGTTCGCTTAGATGAACTACCAGGACCCAGTGGGGTCCAAAATAAAAAACTGAGACCAAAAGTGGTACCATCATCAGAGGATTCTTTATGTGAATCAGAATAAGAGGAAGTTTCAGACTTTCAGTGAACTATGCCCTCTACAGGCACTACCAGTCAGTAGTTATACAAAAACTAAAAGCAGGCAAACTAAACATTCGATCATTTTAACATCAACATTATTTATAGAACCATTAGAAAATAAGGAACAAAAAAAGCAAAAGAAGAAAAAGGTTGAGAAAGTTAAACGAATAATTGGAGCTAATAAAATAAAAATAGAAAAATAAGTCTAGAAGAAGACTTATGGCGTGAAAGCACAGCAAATACGAGAAAGCGAACTTTGTGCAGTATGTTCGGAGTTTGGATCAAATGAATTATGGTGGAGATGTCGTCTCTGTGGTCTCTGGGCTCATGCAGACTGCACGGAAGCGGATACTGCTACTTTTTATATTTGCTCAAGCTGTAAATGTATCTAAAGCAATATGTATTTCATACTTAAACCTAATTAACTTAAATATTGAACTTATCCATCTGTGATCGATATTTCGTATCCTTGATCGATATTACCATCTCCATTGTCTATATTGCCGATTAATCGATATTACCCGAATTTTTTGAGTGTCAAAAATATTTATTTTAAAAATATTTATTTTAAAAATATTTGTTATTATTTTATAATATTTTTGAAGCAGTAATTGGTTAACTGAATAAACTAAATATCCATATTATAAGTTTCAAATTCGTAAAAGATATAGCTAACAGTAAACAGTCAACAGTTTTGTTTAGTCGATATTCCCCCACCTTCCTCTAAGCAATATAATAAACTGTACTTTAGTACCAATATAAATTTTATAATATGTAATTAATTTCTTTTAAAATTTAAGATTGATTTACCTACGTTCCATAGAAATGAAATCAATAACAAAGTCGTGTTTGACATCGAACAGGTATTATTAAAAAAAAAACTCTTTCGGGACTGTCACGCATTTCATTCTAAACAAATCTGTAATTTATATCGATATATAATATCCAAACAAGTAAATTGCGTGAGTGAAAAGATTACCATAAAAGTAGAGAATATTTTGTTCCATGTTTTGCTCTGGTTTTATGTGGTATTGACATGGACATTACTCCACATATTTGAGTAAGATGCAACATGATAGGAAAATGGGACAGATCAGTTTTCATCAGTAAAGTTTACTCGATAGTTCACGTGAAATACTTTTGTCGAACATGCAGTTAACTGTTATTTACATTTTCTGATATGTCGTTCTTTACGAATACAAATAACAAGTTAAGATGGTATATTTATTGCTTTAGTGTACGATATAAAAGCATGGATTTTAAATCAAAATAATAGTAAATATTGTTTTTATTATATTTCTCAAAATTTAAATTTCGTAGTTTTAACCATTTTTTTTTAACTGGGATTTTGTCCAAGCAGGTTTTTTTAACCGATGACCGATTTTTTAAGCGACTCCTTATCTATTAAATAATGATAGTTTGCAGTCTTCGATTTATCTATATCAAAACTTCATGCTTTTGAATTATGGTTATACAAAAGAATCCTGAAGATACCATGGACAGGCAAAGTCACCAATAACGAAGTACTGCGGAGGATGAACACAACCGCGGATTTGGTCAACATTGTGAAGAGCCGTAAGCTGGAGTACTTGGGACATATAATGAGAAATCAAGGCAGATACGAGCTACTCCAATGCATTTTGCAGGGTAAAATTGAAGGAAAAAGAGCCCCAGGACGAAGAAGAATATCCTAGCTTGCTAACCTAAGAGCATGGTATAGAAAGACCCTAACACAGCTATTTCGTATAGCAACCAATAAAATCATTATAGCCAGAATTATCGCCAACGTTCGGAACGGATAGGCACCCTAAGAAGAAGAAGTGACCCTTATTAAAATATAGTCCAAGTTTTGTCAAAAAAATAAACTAAAGTGGCTTAGACTTAAATCATCTTTCATATTGTCGGTAGTGTGCAATAGTGGCTTTACTTAAAAATTGGCAAAATTGAATTAACATCACCAGAAGGCTTAAAATAGCCTTATTTATGACCTCAAAACTGGCACAATATTAATAGTAAAAATGTCCGCTAAACGTCACTAGTGTAGTTAGATTAAATTTTTCTGGAGTACTGGCGCTTTTTATTGTGCAGTGGAAGTCGAACCCTGTCGATATCAAGTTTCTATGCAAAACCGTCACGTTTGAGTTGTGCCACTATAGCAGACAATTTTAGATATTTTAAAACTGTATCAGTGAGAATTTTGAAGTTGTGTCACATTAAATAAAAGGAATAAATTTATTGTTTTAAAAAGGTCAGATTCAAAGGTTATAAGAAAAGAAGTAAATTAATCCTATCTCGAGCAGAAGTAACGGAACAGTCTCTAGAATATATAAGGAGGGAAGAGATAAAATCCCGTGGTTTTTGAAGTAGCTTCTGTAATGTGTTATTCTACTGAGGCCGAAAATCTACCGAATTTGTAATTTAAAAATAAAATCAGGTTGAACAGCTGTACTAGAACCCAAAAACTGAAGGTCATGTTAAGATAAGACGTAAACAAAGAAAAATATGTTATTTGGCAAGATACTAAATTGATTTCTTTCGAAACAGATCTTATTGCATAGCAAGCTGAGGCTAGTTTCTTACTTAACAAATCGATATAAACGGACCATTTAAGGTTGCTGTCTATAAAATACCAAAAAATTTTACAGAATCCACGATACTCATCATCATTTTGGCTTTACAACCCTGTGTGGGTCCTAGCCTCACCAAGAATTTTTTTTAGTCGTCCCTATCTATCGTCTAATCCCCGATACTGAACGGGCTGTTATCAAGAATCAGGGGTTGAAGAACTCCTTCATAGGATAATACTACTGTCTTATCCACGTTAAAAGAGAGTAATTATAGTCAGACCAGGTTTTTATTTTAAGTATATCAGAAGTTATAATTGCATGAAGAGCTCCAGGTAATATTGGTATCATCAACAAAAGGAAAAATGTTTTCATCGATTTTTTAGTTAGTGATGTCATTTATAAAGAAAAGGAAAAGTAGAAGACCCAGTACTGAACCTTGCGGTACTTCACACACAATGCTTTTATGACTAGAGCCAGTATCATTTGCACAAACTAGTTGTTTCCCATTCCCCAAGTAAGATTGGAACCAATTTATAGAAATACTTCCAATTACGTAGAAATTTGTTTTTTTTTATCAAAATGTCACAATTTACACAATTAAAAGCTTTGATATAGTCACAAAAAATAGTGGCAGTATAAAGATTATTGTTTTGTGCTTGATAGAATTCATGTAGTACAGAAAACAGAGCACTCTGGTACATTATATTAGATAAAAAGCCGAGCTGACTTGCGAAGGTGATAAAATGTTGTTTTCAACAAGAAAGGACAAGTCGAGCTGTTATGAGTCTCTTAATAATTTTGGATAGGACCGGTAGTAAGGCAATAGGTCTATATTTGTAGACAATAGATTTTTACCATCCTTATGAAGAGGAATAATAATGGCTGCCTTCTCTCTGCACTCTGCACTCTGGAAATATACCTTTTTCAAAGGAATCGTTAATTAATTAGAACACGACTTTCAACACATTATTCGGGAGATTTAAGAATTTTTTATGGATAGTCCATCAGTGGCTAAAACTAAAGTAGAGAGGATACAAGTATCCCATTTGAAAGATCCATTAACAAAAAAGCAAGTCACACTAAAAATTAAAGAAGAGCTCACCAAAATAGAAATTATTGCTATTGAAGACGCGAACAGGAATATGTTCTTCTATTATTAAAAGATTCTCTTATACATATATCCAAGAAACACTGGAAGTAACTCGAGAAGACCCAGTCAAGTCCGTAGAAGGGTTACAACTCCTAATCAAGACCGGTTTTTGACACTTCGTACACTGAGACAAAGGTTTGTTACCAGTACTTCTCTACAAAATGAATTGTTGGATCGTTATAACTTTAGAATCAGCCAAAATACGATTAGAAGAAGACTTGTCAAAAATGACCTACACGCTGGAAGGCTGTAGGTCATTTTGGCCTACTAATTTTGACCAATTGGGCTATTATTGACCAGAAACCATAGAAGGCAAATATTGCATTTTGCTCGTGAACATGTTGAATGGAATAATGACGATTGGGAAAGAATATTGTTCACCGATGAATCCAGGTACTGTCTTTTTTCTGATGACAGGAGAAACTGA